CTTTTGCGAGCGGGGTGAAATGCTCAACAGCAGCTGCCGGTAAAACAAAAAAATGAACCGAAATGGAAAAAAGGAGATAAAAAAAAAAAAAAAAAAACGAAACAAATGATGTTAAGTGACGCGCAGCTTTTGTGGAAATGAAAGCCAAACGTTCGATTCTCAAGATGCATGATAAGATAAATAGAACAAAAGTCCTGAAGATAAATACATCTACTATGTGTGGCTAGGGGGAATGTGGTTTGTATTTCCCAGGCTAAGATATGAAACCGGGCACGTGCAGTCAATCAAGCTGGCTGCCAGGAATGCGTGTTTCTATATATTTATATGTATATATATGTATAGAAATACATATATTTTTAGTGGCACACAAGGGGAACAACACGGTGCAACACTGATTCTGAACTTCCCAATTGACCTGACAGAGGTTGTGCACCTGCACAGGTGTTGCATATATATATATAAACCTGAACATTTTAATGCAACTCTTTACACGAACCACAATCAATCTTAATGGGGTGGCATATAAAAAGCTGTTTGTCCGGACTGATTGAATGAATGATTAAATGGCTGACTGACTGATTGACAGACTGACTGATTGACTGCGTAAACGACTGATCGATTGCTGAACGACACATAGCCCAGCTGGTATTAGTTTGTTAAATTTTTTATTGCAGCTACCTTTTGTGATAGAAGTGCATCGTAGAAAGTGTCTATTGAAAATTCTTCTTGGCTCAAACTAATTTTCAGAGTTATTTGTGCACATTTTGAGTCTTGTATTACACTTTTCGAATGTCACTAATTACCTTATGCTCCATTTGTTTGTCTTTAGTCGTACGAAATTTGAGTAATAGTATTGGGTTCGAACAAAGCCTAGTTATACCTGTTAGTATCTTTTATAACCTTGCAACAGATGCATAGATTTTCAATACAGCTTTATGTGTCTGCCAGAACATTTGCCCGCACAGTGCTTAGCTTCCCTTTGAATGCAAGTTGCATGGGTGAGCCTAGACGCATTGAACTCTTAAGCCATGTCAAAGTATCTTGCACTCTATGCCACGACACTGGGCAATCCCTTTGGCATAGGAAGCAAATCCTGACGGTTTCGATTTCAATCAGAGCACACACGGCCTTCGAATGGCTTCCAACTTTGATGAACTTGGCGATTTTCAGGCTCGCTTTTGCATTATTTATCCGTCGTGTAATTTGAGCGTAACTATAAGGGAATGAATGCGGGGAGGAGAGAGGAACATAAGCTAGACTCATGAAATAGGGAGTTGGAAGTAGGGGGGTGCCGACCAATTAATGCCACTTCTTTGGCTTCCACTGAAAATGACGATGAGGATGAAGCTTCATTAAAAAATCTCATCAAATCCGAATGCCACTAACTTAGTTCCTCGTTTTCTGTTTGTGCACTCTCCGTGTGCATATTTATGACGACTGGCAAATCAAAAATGCAAATAAATTTCAATTTTCTAACTGTGAGTTGACACGAGGCGGCAACATGACAGTCACAATTACAGTTGCAAACATGCCATACAGCAGCAGCAGCAGTAGCAGCAGCACAGCAGAAGACAGAGCGCCACAAATCAAGTCGAGGCCGTAGCTCGGGGTGGGGCAGAGACTGGCAGAGAGAGAGAGAGAGAGAGAGAGGGAGAGCTGAGCCTGGGGCAGGGGTGGGTACTCCCAATCTCATATGCATATTTATGAAAAGTGCAGTGGCATCTTGTCAGGCCTGGCTGCCTTCTGGGAGCCTGTCTATGAGTATTATTATTAAATAATCATTTTGTTGCAATAAATTTCAATTTCTATTTGTGTCAAGTGTGAGGGAGAGGGAGATACAGGGAGAGAGAGAGAGAGTGGCAGTTTAATTTGCAAACAAGTTGAATACTTCAACTGTTAGCCATTTATTTATATGCCTTATAAGTAAGTCACATCGCCGGCTCTGTTTTAAATATTTATCCATTCAAAGTGAATTAGCTTCATTTTCACGAGAACTACCAGCAGAAAACTAGTTCGCAAAGCCAATGAAATTGTAATTAAGTTTGCATGCCAAATGACTCGAGTGGTTTGCATGCAATCAGAAAAAAAAGAATACACAAAAAAATTCTGAAATTTGTTTAAATATTGACGCAAATTTACAAGTTCAACAGAATTTTTTTTTGGTATTCATTTATTTTTTGCTGGTCGCTTAAGCTCCACTGGTTCGAAGGTCACACGCAAGGGTTGGCAGCACGCTGTGTGCCACTCTCAAATTGGCTAAACGTAGCAAACGAATTTTCCAAACTATTCGGTACATTGAAATCGAGCTAAAAGTTAAATTTTAAACCAATTGTCGGCTTGCAGCAGCTCCATGCCGTTGAGTGGGCTTTGTGGCCCACTGTGTTGGCTGTCGCATTGTGCACGGGGCAGCATGTGCGTTGTGGCATCAAGTACAGTCCAGTTGAGGCATTTGCATCACATGCCGAACTGAGGCATGCAACGACCGAAAGTCGTTGGACTGGACTCTGATTGAAATGTTCAAAATGTTGCCTCTTGCCACCAGTCATGGAGGGGCAGGCAGGCTGGCTGGCCGTCAGTCAGGTAGCCATTTTCTATGCTTTTCCCGGAGCTAGTCACCTAGTCTGGACAACACCTGCCAGTCTGGGGGCCGTGACAGAGACAGCAGAACATGTAAAAGGTATTGGGCATTTGACTCATTGTTTTTTTGTGGCAATCGTATAAGCTGTTGGCTGTAGAGAGAGAGATGCTTTCTGGAATTTGAATTAGGGCATATCAGATTAAAGATTAAAAATTTGATTCATAACTGTGAACAAGAGAAAAACATCTGAAAATCAATTCATTTGAGAAATGAAGTTGTCCGCTTGACATGTGAAAATTTATTAATTTGCTATTCCCAAAAGAGTCAAGAGCCTGCCACATTAACTATTTAGCAATTGTTTAGGCATTAGTTGCAGTTGCCAATGTCAGATGTTTAAGTTATCAGAAACAACTCCCTTTTCCTGTCTGACTAGTTCTGTTGCAGAACGCTCTGCACGACATGTCTGCAACGAAATCATCGAGCGGTCAATTGCTTCACCTCATTTCTCATTTTTGTTTGGTAGATGTAGCCTAAGGTAGTGTTTCTTATGATACAAGACGCAGTTGATGACATGTCATTGAGCTTTTCCATAAGCGCGATACAGCTGAAGATGCCGCCACAGCGCGTGTCCTTAAGTTAAAGATTTCCATGTAGGATGTATTTACGTTTAAGTGTGGGGTTTGAATCCTCTGCCAAATTTTTAAGTTGGAAGTCTTAACACTATACTGCAAAGTTAAGTATGAAACAGTGCGCTAGAATTGAATTTAAACTTGACTTTGGCAAATTAATGCTAAATTAAATTAGTCAAACATACTTTGTTGATGTGCAGCTGTATCCAAATTATTGGACGCACGCACACACACACACACACAAATCCACTCAAGTCATCCGGCTGATACAAACACGCTCATGTCATCGGGGCCCATTGATCGCATTATAGAAAGTAAACACAATTATTTTTGTTTCGAACACATATATGTATATGTTTATGTTTATGTGTGTGTCGGCAGCGTGGCCACAAAGTATGCAAGACCAAAATTTCCTTAACGCTCTTATCACACACACACACAAACAAACACACACACAGACACAGCCACACACAGTGATACGCATAATCCCGAGCAGCATTATGTTTGTTTTTCTGTTGAATATTTTCCATTTTTTCTAACGAGATACAAAACGAAAGAAAAAACAAAAAACAGCCGGCGGAGGAGGGTGAAACGCTGTGAAGAGGTCTTTCAAAACGGGGGTGTGGCAAGCGCCAGTTGCTGTGAAAATTATGTAAATGATTGAGCAAATTATGTCCAAAAATATTCGTTGCCATCTGACCTATGAACATCCCTCCCCCCACACTATACCCAATGCAATCACAGAACCTCGTGAACAACATCATTATCATCATAAAAACGCTCTTCACCTTCATATTCAATCACTTCTAGAGCATCTCAAGCTGTTGTCCGTAGCTACAAATCCCGTCAATTGAAATGTTTGTATAACAAAATATTAAAAAAAATAAATAAAATTTCTGGTCGACATTGTACAGAAACAAAAAATGTTTTGTTTTACTTATTTTTTTTTTTTGTTTTTCGCAGTTGTTATTAATTTATTTGTTCATGGGTCAAGATTTAAATGTGGGCGTGGCCAGCTGGATACCGCAGTGGGCGTGGCAAGCACAGCAGTCCGCTGTGAGTCTTATATATGTCAAAAAATTATTTGCATTGTGGTCAGCGCAAACAATTAATAATAATTTTTGTTCATCAAAGCAAATATAATTAAACAACTATCAATTCTAAAGCGCTGCCGGGCATTTTATTACATTTAACTGAATATTGATTGAGCATATATTAATGTTAATCAAGTTGTGGTCACCTTTGTAAAATAAAAATGCATTTTTATTTACTTATTTTACATTATTTTGTATTTGATTTTATTCAGTTTTATTAAGCCCTCAAGGCCTACAATGAGAATAACATATTTAAGTAAAATAATTTATTTTTTGATTTAGATCGAGTTTATGAAGCTACTGTTTAAAGATTCAGCATAGATCAAAGACATAATCATTGAATTATTAGTACTTTTTGTTTGACACAGGCAAGGTTAATAAAAATATCGCTCTACCATGCGATTCTCATGAATTTCGGCTGTCATGCATCAATTCTTTGAAAATATTTATTTGCGCATAAAGTTAGACTCTCTTTGTAATTCTCTGTCCCTCTCTCTTTCTCAGCTTATCTCTATTATTATCTCTATTTCTATCTCAATATTTTACTCTTGCATTTCGCACCGTCTCTCTCTCTCTCTCTTTCTCTCTCTCTCTCTCTCTCTCTCTCTATATACATAAATTTATTTCTTTCTTAATTGACGTCTCTTTTTTTCTTCGGCTTCATCCCTAATCCACAATCTCTATCTCTTGTTCTTTTAGAGATGTGCGGTATGTGAAGTCTGTCATCAAATAATCTTCCATGGGCATGTTAAGTTCAGGGTAAGTACATATTTTCATATAGATATATATAATTAGGACTTTATTTATATTCAGCCCTGTGCATGGGCTATCTACTAATAGTTATACATTTCATTTAACTCTAATTAAATAGTTGACTGATTAACAAGAATTTGTGCATTATTTGTGGCCTTATATCGTATATGCCAAGTAATAATACCCTCTAATTGAAACATGTTGACAGACCTCACTGAAACACACGCAAACACATCGAAACACACGTACACACACACACCCGCAGGAAGCTCAACTGCTGCATGACCGTAATTCCATATGAATCTGCAAATTATTGTAAAAGTAGCAGCTAAAAAACGTGTCATGTTTTTGCATATTTTGTACATTTTCATTATATTTATAGATAGTTTTGTTTTTTATATTTTTGTATTTTTTGCCATTGCAAATTTCAATTTGTTAAATGCGCAGCGCAACTTTTGTTGCAAATTAATTTGGCACGAACTTGACTATGGAAAATATGGCAGAGACTGCCGCAGTGGCAGCGACTGTGGCAGCAGTCAGCAGTCGACAGTCGACAGTCAGCTCTGTTGCCAGAGATGCAACAAGCCGCAGTCGCTGTCGCTGTCGCAGTCGCCGTTCCATACGCACGTGTTAAACTCTCGTACCTCTGTCGTAATAACCGCAACTTAGTTAACTAAACAAGCTGACAGGCATGAAGGCGGGGGGCGTGGCCGAAGGCATGGTTGGACGGGGGCGTACAATTGTTGTTGCTACAGTTGCAACCACCCCCCTCCCCCTCCTTACACTTTTGGCAAATGTGCACTGAAGGAAATTGCAAACAAAATTGCAACTTCCTGTCAGCGACAAAAACTTTTGCTGTGGCGCCAATGTTGCCACTTCCGTTTAGAGCACACACACACACACACTCACACACAGATTTAAATGTGCATATGTTTGTGTGTGTGTGTGTGCTAAGTGCTGTCGGTTATTCATATGCAAACGCCATGGCAGCAGCCACAGCCAGGCAGCCAGCGCCATGTTTGGCAATCAAAATATTTCACTAAATTGCTGAGCCAAAGTGAACAAAAGCCAAGCAGCAGCAGCAGCAACAATTTGACTGCAACGGCCGCACCACAGGAAGAATAAAATATTAAATAAATTTTTGCAAAATTTTACAAACGTGACCAGAGAGAAATACCCGAGAGACGTAAAGAGAGAGAGAGAGAGAGTGGGTGCGGAAGAATATCTGCTACAAATCCAAGCTATAGTCTCAGTCTACAGTCCCGCAGCATATGTTAAGCGTTTATCGTGGATGCATAGGCCCCAGGGTCGGGTCGGGTAGGGTCGGGTCGGCAGCTGCAACAAGGTGGGAGATGGGGGCGTAGCGTGCTTCATGAGAGAAACTGCAGAATAAAATAAGAAATAGCAGCAAACCAACCGCAAGCCAAGCTTCTGGCATTCATATTTCCATCTCTTAATGCGTTACCCGGGCAGCTTATGAATTTTTTTAATGCCCATGTAGAGGGTGTTATAATATTGTTATGAAATGTATAATGCTTAGAAGAAGAACATCCGAGTCGACATGGTTATGTCCATCTGTTCATTTATCTAGGCAAGCTTGTCTCTTAGTTTAAGGCTAACTAGATGATCCGTATTTTTGCTGCAGGCGGTACAAATGTCGGCATCAGCTCGGAACGAATTACTTTATCATATAGGAATAATTCTTCAAAATTTGAGTTCTTGTAAAAATAACTGACCAAACGTACCTTTAGTCAGTTTACCTAGGCTTCCCACATATGAGTTCTTTAGTTCTTTAGGAAGAATCGATTAAAAATAAGTTATTGCATCCAAAATTTGGCTGTTTTTCTAAATATCTCAATCGAACTCAGCCATTGCGAGTTACTTTTTAAACAAACCTGCAAGAGAACATCATGTCGGACTACTATATTATATGGCTTCTATAGGAACAATCGTTTCAACATAACACTTTTGTATATAAAAGCATTTTTGGGCCACATCTAGAGTATTTTATCTCCGGCTCTTGTTTCCTCTCGATTTTTTTTCGGTTTATTTGCACTACGCAAGTCGTTTAGTGTGGGGGACGCCTCAAAGTATGTCATGCAGCAGCACTTTTGACTCGCATTCGGCCGATTGAGCAGCAGATAAGACAAGGGCAAACCTTGGGCTGGGCCTGGGCAGGAGCGGACGGACAAGGGAAATGGCCGGCGGCTGAGCTGCCACTTCAAAGTTGGCCCGAAATTAAAAATAATTACATAAAAAATAGAACAGTAACTGCTACAGTTACAGTTACAGTTACAGTTACAGCTACAGTAAAGACTTTTGTGTTTGCCATTTGCTGTCGCAGTATTTGCTCTTCGTGTTGTTCTTTTCCAGCTGCTTACAGTGGAGTCAAATAATGGAATATATAAAGCGTAATTTGTTTTCAACATTTTTGTTTTATTTTTTTTTTTTTTTGTATTTTCTTTATTCGTTTTTCATTTTTGTTATGGAAGTTGCCTCTTAATAAGCATTTAATACTGTGAGTCGGCAAACACAAAGACAGAGCCCATAAAAATGTCCCTCTGTGCATACATATTCATAAAAGACAGTCGAGAAAGAATAAACTTTTTCAATATCAAATCATGTTTAATTACCTCAGAAGTCCAGGGCTCTGTTATGATTCTCGAAGTTGACTTTGGATTAACTCTGAAACTAATTAATGAAATGCTTACAAATATTTTTGTTTAAAAGTAAAATTTTTGTCATAAATGCGCACTTTAAAGCCTTATTAAATTTACATTGAAATTGATAAAAATGTATTTTTCATCGTTCCCAAATGGCGAACATAATCTCCGAAAAATATGCAACAATTTTTAATTTTTTTGATGAATTAAAATTGAATAAAATAATAATTTGTGTTTGGTTGGTTATCATGTTTATATACAAAATAACCAGCTTAAAGTAAACACAAATATAATATTTGAACTAATTTTTAGTATAGATATATTAAATATAAATACAAAATTTTTACATCAAGAATGAAATTATTAAATTATGCTTAAAAGTCCGTGCAGTTAGCCATTCTAAAAAGGGTTTGATTTAAAACTAGAACCAACTGTTTGTTGGATAGTGTAATGTGTGAGAAACATGAAAATATACCCAATCTATCAGTTATCATTCAAAATCTTACACGTGCGTGCTACAAATAAAAGAATATCCGAATCGTGCGATTATAAGAACATCCAAATTTCAAAGTCAAGGCACAGGCTTCAGATTCAGGTTGATTTAGAAAACCACGCATTAAATTTGTGATTAAATATTTAACAATGCGTGCAAAGGAAAACACCTTAAAAATGTAATGTTGATGCCCGTCAAGGATGTTGAGCACACACCAAGTTGGGGACTAAGCCAGTCAAAGGCTTCACAGCCCCACTGTATGTGTGTGTGTGTGCGCGCGCGAGTGTGAGTGTGTGTGTGTGTATGAGTATTAACGGCCAAATTATGATGAAGCGCACTTGACAAACGCCATCGTCTGTGGCTGTTTAATGGTAAATACCGTAAACACCCTGTGCCTGAGCCAGTCGTCGTTTCAATTCGTTTCGTTTCTGTGTATACTGTTTGCTGCTGAGAGAGAGAGCGCGTGAGAGCGCACGCAGAAGCAAGTTGTGTTGCTCACGCGCTGAATAAACGTGTCCGCTCGCAGCGCATGTTGCCACAGCGAAACGGTTATCAACATGTTGCATGTTGCGACTACCGCTAGCAGCACGAATAAACAAATAAATAAATAAATCTGTTGCCAGCAGCTCCTTTGGGAACATTGGGCCTAAAATTCATTTTGTGCGCTGCCAGCTTCATTATTTAGCGCTGAAAAACAAATCCTTGATTAATTGTGCATCAGCTGACATGACATACCATTTACAATAGCCACGTGCTCTTTAAATATTTATAGACATATATATATATATATGCGTACGTTTAGAGTACACGGGGCATAAATCATTTGCCAAACAGGCGAACAATTACAACAGCAACAACAGCAATAACAACAACAATAAATCGCCAGCTACTTTGTTACCATTGACAAGGCGTATTTGTTGCCGCTTTTGTCCGCGCGATGGCGCCACTTTCGTTTCCTAGCTAGTGCACCTCCTTTCTGGCTGGCTCCTGTCCATAATGTGGCATGGCAACACACACATTAAATTTGATTTGGTCACGTTTCCAAGCTTTGTTCCACTTATGGCTCATTTTGATGTGGCCGTCCGTCGTTGTTGCCCGAAACAATAAAGCGGCCAAAGGACCAAGTGGACCAGGACACAAAACAGCTGCGAGATCCATATCCGAGGCACAATGCAATCACAGCAGCAGCAGCTCCCTGGATACTGGAATTCGGCCACAGCTCCTAATAGACGCATTGCTGTCATAAAATAATCGACGCGCAGGATGTGAATTTGTCTCCTTGCTCCGCGTTCTCCGCTGCTGGGCAGGTAATGCGGCCATAAAAGCCCGCAAGGATAACAATTGCCGAGTAGCATCATGAGTGCAACATTTTGTGGCAATCAGAATGAAATGCTGTTGCTGTTGCTGTTGCAATTGCAGTTGCAGTCATCAGGCAGCTGTACCTGCTGCTGCTGCTGCTGCAGGAGAAAAAAACCAGTTAAGGGACCAACTGCTCATCGCATTCCTGCATCCGTAATGCTGACAGCATCGATCCACAGATCTCTGCCTTCCGCTCTCCCTAGAGTTGCCACAAAAGATGCCGCAGCCCCAAATGACAACTGCCGCAGACAAAAGAATTTATAAGCAGTTCCAGTTTATCGCCAGATTGAGACAATGTTTTAACCAGCTGCCGCCTGTGCCCACAGTTGACTTAATGGCAGCCTAAACTTTGACAATTTCTCGGTCTTAAATCAGGAACAGGCCCTTGATGTCAGCGGCCTTTGATGTGTCTTTAATGATGCTCCTTTCTCTCTTCTGCCAGTCAAAGGCCCTGTCACAGAGCCACCGAAAGGACTTGGGCTTTGTTGAAA